GGGAGCCTTACGAATGCGCAGTAGAGTTTAATTAATATGACGATTTCAAATGTTATTTGCTTACCTCTGAAATGAAGATAATTTGAATTTGAACCCCCAACAGTGTACAGCAGCTACCCTTGTGTTTGAGCTCAAATGATTCGTTTTGATGAGGACTTCCAGCTTTTCCATTATAATTGAGGAGACCATGGTAACGAAAAACAAAAGTGGATAAGCAAATATTTTAGGTCGTCCTTTATATATAAAAAACCGACCCCAAAAGTTCATGGAATTACACCTGTTTGCCAAGTTTCATTGAAATCGGTTACCGGAAAGTGCTCGAAAGCTGATTCAACCCCTAGTTTGCCAATCATAGATAGGGAATATTTTCTTCACATTTAAATGTGACCAACACTGAGGTACCCTCTTTCCAACAAAAAAGAATCATCAATATCGATTCTCAGATATCGCGTAACATACATACATACGGAAAAAACAATTAATAAGGTCCTCTTTTTTTTAAAGTCGGTTAAAAGTTATAAAAATTGTTATTCATTAGTGTTCGTAGTTTAGATTTAATTTAGATATGGTTTGCGATGAAGTCGTATTCATCGTACGGTTCTATATGTAAAAAACTAAAGGTTAGAGTAAAGTAGAGCAAAAAGAAATGAATGGATTGTGTGATTTGTTCATGAAAGGAGTGAAAACCCTGATGGCGGCTGATAGAGATGTAAACAATTGAGATTTGCAATGACCCCAATTTATGCAATGTGGAGAAGAAGGACAATTTACCGTGTATTGTTTTCATATATATTATACTTAAAATTGACAAAATAATCTCAGAACAGAGTACTAAAAAAACCGACCTCAAAAGTACGTGGAATTACGTCTATTTGCTAAGTTAGTTCGCCACTATACAGGACTTGACACTGGAGATAATAAAAATCGGTTTTCACTACTCAAAGTATATTGAGAGAAAAACACCTTGAATTGGAGAAATAGCAAAATCAACCATTAAAGTAATTGCTCCTAAATTAATGTTAGGCGCTATTTATGAAAATGAATCTTCATGCGTGAACAGCCACCCTTCGAGGTGGATGATTTTCTTCAAAATGAAATGGGACCACTATGGAAGTACCCCCTTTCCAACAAAAAAGAATCATGAAAATCGGTTCACAAATACCGGAGTTATTGCGTAACATACATACAAAAAAAAGAACATACAGTCGAATTGAGAACCTCCTCCTTTTTTGAAGTCGGTTAAAAATGTTAACATTCTGTAAATGTCGTCCATTTTACTCTTTAATCGAGTTATCAAGTTAGTTTAGTTATAGGAATCAATCATATGTAAAAGCACTGATACGTGTTGATGAGGCGAAAGATTTGTGTCAAGATTGTAGCAAGTGGAAGGGAAGGCTGTTGTCTCTGCCTACCCGGATGAGAAAAGGAGTATGTTTTTTTATGCGCCTGGTAGTAAGTAACATGCCTGTCCGTAGTGCCGCTTTAAAGAGCTCAGAGCTTTAAATAGCAAAAATCTGGGGGCCATAGCCACTACGCCTATCACAATGAAACATAAAATTGACAAGTCTCAAGCGCCGGTAATTTTCACCGTTACTCTTTAAAACAGAAGCACGGCAATGCTCACATCTTCGAAACAAACGCGACCGTGCGGCGGTTTTAAGTTTGAAAACTTTTCTGGTTCACAATAATTCTAGGTCAGGAGACTAGCAATTTTGGGTAGTCATTTTATTTTTTGCTGTATGCATTTTAATTAAAATTAATTTTAATGTTTCCAAAAATAATATCCTTGAAAAGTTTGATGTACTGACTAGATTGTGTTCAAATAATGTAATTAAATGTAAAACAGTTTGTAAATTAGTGAATATGAAATTGTAATTAAAATCTTCACCTTGACTTTTTAATGTCTCCTAATTTGCAAATAGTATTTTTGTGATAGCTACATAGCGTATTGCAGATACCAAGGTCCATTATGCAAAATGGTTTCGGATATTTAAACTCATGTGATTATTGTATTGTATAATAATATAATGTTCAAAATGGTGATTTACCTATCACATTTAAAAGTTAATCACATCTGCCAAAAATTAATAAAACAAAGACACGTTCCCGCAGCGGGTGAAATTGCATTTTGTATGAAAGTTTGTATACAATTCAACCTACAAGGATTTCGAATATTTTTTCAATATTTTTAAAGACTTAATTACTCATCAATCAATAGGCTAATTACCACCATATTGTTTTGGTAATTTGTTTGCTTTTTCATTACACGCAAAGGGCAACATTATTTTTTGAAATTTGTATATTGGGGTCTTTAACATATTTTGATATTCATGAATTTATTTGTACTAACACGATAAGTAACATCTTTTTGTTTGCTGTCTTCTTTCTGTGTGAATGCTGGTCAAACTATAGGTGATTTTTGATACACCATTGGCAGTTTTGATTTAACTTTGAATAAAACTGGTTAAAAGATTTTTTCCAAAAAAAAAAACCAGTTTTTTTCTAACCATTGATAACTGCGCAAAACGTAGAGATCAACTACTCTAAATGTCAAAATTGACATAACAATGACAGTTATAAAAGAAGTTTCGAAAGTTACGCGCCATTTTCTGTTCAACGAGTGAAATTTTCGTTCGGCTCGTTGGTAGTTGCCAATTGGTAAATAGTATCCCCATGTTTATTTACTTTGATTGATCTATGTTTTTTTTTCAGTCAAAATAGAAGTATAATACTAACTTAATGAAATTATCAATGAAGATGGATTTTCGCTGGCCAAAATAACTGGTTCAAATATATCCAAAAGTCAGGATAACGTTGAGTGGCATCTTTAACGCATTTTTCTCAAAAAGTTTGTTTCTAATTCGTCAGTTTAGTTAAATTTGGGTATAAAAGGACCCACATTAATCAATAATAATAATAATAATAACGCACTCAAACTCATAGCCTCGCACTAGGGAAACCTTGTATCACGAGTGCCATGGATATACACACAGACACCACAAATAACACCCAAACTTACGAGAGAAAGAAAAGTAGGCCATACAAATACTTCTCTCGGCCTGGGAATCAAACCCGGAACCTCTGCGTGGCAGCCCAGCATGGGATATCAATCAATGGAATATTGGAATAAAAATATTAATCAATAAAACTTATTTCAACATTGTTAATTTAAACATCAGCAAAAAGCGTTTACACACAACTTGACTGTACCAAAAATGAAACACAATGTTTTTTTTATGAAAGGATAAGTGTGCATTTGACCTCCATCTCACCTGATGGAAAGTGACGATGAGGTCGAATTTCAAGGCTGATGTCAAGATATAACGAAACTATTAAAGATTCCAGTTTACTACAGAATCATAGAAATTGGTTAAAATTCATAAGATGGGAAAATCATGTTAGCGAAATGTTTACATCGGTTGCGTTCCGATGACATAACCAGTTCTCATTCAACCCGTTCTCATTCAGCTCAACGACTGACCGACTGTGTGTGACTCGACCTGCAATTCTGGACCGTAACTCTACTCTGTCTATGCTCTCCGAATCGTATTTGTTGTTTCATTACGTTTCAGTAAGAATTAACGCTTGTAAACATTTCAGTAGTCTATATTTTTATTATTTAAGAAACATCGTTTCTTTTACCGTAAAAAGTTATTTACTATAATTTGGAATGTCGATTTTATTCATCATACGTACACACATCCATTGCTGGACATAAGCCCCCTGTGCACGCCAAATCTCACGGTTCTGTCTAGCCGTTGCCGGCTACCCTTCTCAAGTCGTCCACCGAATGGCATGCAATGGCAGGCAATGGCACCGAGGGGCATTCGACTCGAGTCGAGTACGACTTAGGCAAATGCCCTTTCGAATTATTAGTATTAGTAACATTCAAAATCGCGCATCGCTACATTAAGGGAAACGCCGTGTAGAACGCCCTACGGCAAGATAATAATAATAACAATGGATCGGCAGCTCAGCGGTAGCAACCGTTACTTCATGTCGAGCTCCGCACGACATGAAGTGAGCGTGCGTACAACTCCGGTACCTATCTGGAAAATAGGGAGAGTGCTGTATGTGCAACCGGGGCGTCTCACCTAAGGCACTAACTAGCCTTACAGAGAACCGGATGAAGTACGTGCAAACGTGCTGATCCGTGGTTAGGACCTTACTTAGATGGTCCTGTGCAAGCTCGCTCGCACAGGTCATATTACCCTTCACGCATAACCAAGAGTTTGATAGGGAGTCGCTATAAACAAAGCTTATGTAGAAAGATACTCAACAACAGCCCCGCACTATGGAAATCCTGTATCGCGGGTGCCATGGACACACAAATAGACAACTACAAATTACACCCAAACTCACGAGAGAAATAAAGGTAGGCTATATAGGTAATTTGCTTACGTAATATAGATTGTTTGGCTATAACTTTAAGGTACTATTTAATAAAATAAAAAGAATATCTTGAGTTCTTAGGTTTTCGAGATTGTTACACATAGAAAATCTAATCTACCTTCAAGCCCTGTCGCTTTCCAACCAGGGACATATATGAATACTGAGAAGTACTTACCGTACGCCAACTTTTTGTCGTCCAAACAGTACTGTGATAACACAATATTGCCCCTAACGTAGCCCTCACACAAAGACGTGTTAACGTAATGGATACGAGGGTTTCTGCAAAATTTCTTTCAGTCAAAAATTCTTTTACTTTTTAGGACGTTTCTTACATAACAAAACTCATAATCTATTAGCCATTGATAAAAAAAAAAGCAAAGTGTAACAAGTGTGAAAAGACGGTTTCTAATTGATTCATGAAACTCTCTTATGAAGAAACAGAAAATTGTCTATATCCAGTCAAATAAAGTAATGCCTTTGTAAACACACACGTGTACACGAAAACACACATATGCACACGCACACGCACACGCACACGCACACGCACACTCACACTCACACGCACACGCACACGCACACGCACACGTAAACGCACAAGCGTACGGTCACACACACACACACACACACGCACACACACACACACGAATTTCATCGCGCTCACCCCGCCACGGCGCGAAAAATTTCTCCAAGTGTACCTGGGCACTAACTACCTTATTACAAATTAATATTGTTTTTATTTTTTGTTACAATCAAATTTATTTTACCAGTTTATTAACTTGTCCGTATAAAATAATTTGAATTTATATCTCAGGGACATTGGAAGGCTGCTGGTACTTAAAGCAATAATGGCTGTACCTTTTATTATGCATTTTTATACTTTGAACGTTTAAATTCTATGAATAAATTTATTATTATTATAGATCCGAAAAAATAGATATCATTTAAAATGTTATATTATGATCACACGAACAACAATTCGCTATGTAATTCAGACTTTTTTATTCACGTAATATGCCTATAGTTCACAAAACAAATGTTTAATATATATTTTTTTTCCATTTTAGCATCGTACATCAAAATATGTCATCGCGACGACCCCACCGTGGACAAATGCATCATGAATTCAGTTGAAGAGCTCCGACCAAAAATTAAAGCGGTAGGTCCAATTTCAGTTTCAAATTATAAGTTAATGTGTAAATTAAAATTACTAGTACATTTTAGAAACGGGAACAAAGAAGGTGGGGGACTCTACTTTCTGCTTGAAGATTAAGGGGGTGACTCGTAAATAGCGATTAAACAAATAATTAGGGTTCACGCTTAGGCTTTTCTGCCTAGGATGCAAACTTGGGCTCCTCAGACTATGCCTCCGCAGGCTAAGGTTCCTTAGACTCAGTCTCTTTCGACATAGGCTACGCAGACTCAACCTCCTTAGACTCAAGTCATATTCGTCAGACCCTGGGCTCCCTAGACTGGGGCTGTTCAAAGTAATACAAGTAATGAGGGTGTCCGCATTAAATAAAATTATTCAGCGACTCGCGACGACACTTGAATTTCATACGACAAGCAGTGCGACACGGCGATTTGTCACGATTTGCGACAAAATATGCGGTGATGTACCTGAATCTCCGCACTGCCTCGCGGCATTCGTACGAACGAGCGCGACAGATTCGAGCGAAGAGTTGCGAAGGAGACACCGCACTACGCAAACAAAAAAGTTTGATTTTGTCGTTCAACTATACGAGAGCGGCGTCAATGCAGCCGCCACTGATCGCCTAACCTGCCCGGTGCAGCCACCCATTAAGCGACGTAGCGGCATTTCGCTGGCTTCTCGCTTTTGCAATGCGGCCACCTATTTTTTCGCGTCGCTGTCGCCGTACCAGTGCGGCCCCGGCCTTAGACTTTAATTTGTTAGGGTCTGGCTCCTCAGACCTTGGGTTCCCTAGACTGGGTCTATTCAAATTGAATTTCCTTATACTCTGGCTCCTTAGAAGCCAAAGTCTAAGGAGTCTTCATTAGTATAAGTTGCATAAACGTTTTCATGGTTAATTAAGATAATCATATCACTTCATAATGATATCACTGTGTAGGTTGAATACACGTTTTTGTGGACATTGCATTGCATTACATATATAAACGTTTCAGTCACATAAAAGATATTGTTAAGACAACGATTGACGTTTGCATTACCTTTACATAACTTTATTGTTATTAAATCGTTTTTAATGTTTGTGCATGGCCTATAAGTAATAAAAACATATTAGTTACATAGTAAGCGACTGTAGTGTAATGCTGTAATGGGTATACCTATACCTTTTAGTAGACTAAAACCATTTGAAGGACAACAGACAGTTACAGGAAATGGTTCTATACTCATATTTTCTCCTAAATCTTGAGTTTTTTTTATAATATCAAGGGACGGGTGATGACGTCACCAGCACCTTTACCCTTCTAAAACGAAACGCAGTAATGCTAACATTACTGCTTGGCGGCAGAAATATGTAAAGTGGCAGTACTTCACTGGTCGAACACTTTCACAAGGAGCTCTACTGCTGCTAAGTATTTGCGTTAGTGTGCATGCATGCTAGGGTGTATTTAATGAAACAATTCAGAGCTTCTGCAAATATGACAGTCGCTAGCGATTGTCTAAAATATTTTTATGGGAATATCCGACTTCTCCGCCTAGCTCACTTGAAGAACTAAGATTTTCTTTACAAACATTTTAATTGTTACAGTAAAGTCACTGTAGTACCACTGATTGTTGATTCAAATCGATGATGTGCTTTCTTTATAGCTTATGATTTATGAATTCCGTTTTTTAATGTTATTTTTCAATATCAGATGACACTTTCAAATTCAAATTCAAATTCAAAATAATCTTTATTTCATAGGTAAGCATTATTACACTTGAAATCGTCACAATGGTTAAACTCTACCGCTCATTCGTAAGGCAGATTCCCCTGAGAAGAATGAGCAAGAAACTCTAGGGGTTGCTCTTTGTAAATAACATTTACAATATTATTTTATTTGAAACATCAGATTGAGACTACCTCCATGAGCTAAACGGGTTACTACCACGGATTTTTGTCATCCAAGTACGCAGAAGTTGTATAATAACCTTTAGTATAAAGTTTTTGTTTCACTATAGTTTTAAACCTCGTGAAAGGCAAATTTTGTATATCAACCGGAATCTTGTTATAGAAGCGTATACATTGCCCCTTAAATGATTGTTTGACTTTGTGAAGACGACTATCAAGAAAAGCTAGTTTATTTTTATTCCTCGTATTTATGTTATGTCTGTCACTATTTTTCATAAAGAAATTACTATTCCTTTTAACATAAATTATATTTTCATAAATGTATTGTGAGGCTAGTGTAAGAATGTTAATTTCCTTAAACTTATCTCTCAAAGATACTTTGGGGCCCAGATTGTAAATTGCCCTAACTGCACGTTTCTGCAGGACAAAGATTCTATTGATATCGGCGGCATTACCCCAAAGCAAAATGCCGTATGTCATTAGACTGTGAAAGTAGCTGAAGTACACCAATCTAGCGGTTTCGACGTCTGAAAGTTTCCTTATTTTTTTAATCGCGTACACTGCAGAGCTGAGCCGTTTTGACAACTTACTTAAATGGGGACCCCATTGCAATTTAGCATCTAACGTTATACCTAGAAATACAACTGTATCCACAAGATTCAATTTTTCGTTTCTAACTACAATGTTTGTAACCGTCTCTCTAACATTGGGTAATGTAAATTTCACACAATTTGTTTTTTTCTCATTAAGAAGTAGGTTATTAACAGCAAACCAATCAACTACTTTAGATATAGCATTGTTCACATCGTCATAGGAACATTGGTGCCTTTTAACTTTAAATAATAAGGAAGTATCATCAGCAAACAATACTATCTCATGTTTTATACCCTCCATAAGGCTAGGTAAATCATTAATATAAACTAAAAACAAAAATGGGCCTAGAATTGAACCTTGAGGGACACCCATGCTAATTACAGACCCTGACGATCTCGTACCGTTAACATCGACCCTCTGTACCCTACCACGCAAATACGATTTAAGAAGGTCGAGATCACGTCCCGCCACACCATAATGGCGAATAGCACTAATAAGGTAAGTTCAGGATTAAATAGTAGATTGTACAGCAAGTGCATAAAACGCGTTAGTCTAACCGAGAGGAGTATATCGAGAGGTGGATACTTAAGTCGAGGGTAAAATGGGTTATAAGAACGAGTTATATACTCTGCTTTTCACTTCGATTGCGAGGAAATTAAACAGCAATATTACAAATAAACGATAACACAACTATTGCCAAGAAAAAATAAGAACTTTCCGCCAATGTACTACTTTTTTTTCTACACGTGACTCAGGTCGTACAACATAATGCTCAGTTATATTTTACTAGCTTTTATTTTTTATGCATTTCTATTTCTTATAACTCATTACAATTACAAAGTCTGCGTGGCTGTCGGTGCAGGCGTCATTGCCCCGGTCTTAAACGACGATTTTATTTTATGCACTAGAGCATAAAATCCTATTTTATGCAGCCTACAGGCTGCATAAATACGAACTTTAAGAGCATGAGAAGTGAAAAGTTTATTTTTTGTACTTTAAGTTCATACTTTATTGTAAGTGGTCTCAGGAAAGAAAATTAATACTGTATTTTAATAGTAGCAATTTTTTTTTAATAAATACAATATATTTGTCATGTAAAATCATAGTAGGTACAATTAAAGAATAAGATAATAATTGGGGTGAGGTCATTACAAACAATCTTCATGTTATCTACTAAGAGTTTGTTCATGACTACGTACATTACAAATGAAGAACCCAGTGTAATGGCCGTCCCAATATGGTCACAAGGAATATAATATAATATTTAATGCGACCTTTTTGTTTCAAAAATATATTAAAAAATGTCGCCTTGTTACTTCAGCAAGATGTCTGGAACTTAGTTAGAAGAATGTATTTTGTATAATTTGATAAATTCATTGAATTATGAAAAAATAGGGGATGACATCAATGACTACGACTTAACGCTATTTCGATACTATTATGACATTCGCATTATTTTATGTACACGTAACATTGATAATGCGAATAAGTATTTAGTGTTAATGCAAATTAAAATTTCTTTTTGTAATTTTTATTGAACGTATCAAAAGTTTTTATAAAAAGTACCAAAACGGTTATCGTTAAGTCGTCTTGCAACATTTTTAGGCTTTCCTGACGTCAATACAACTAACCGGTCTGTGACTTAAGTTAGTCATATAAGGGTCTTAATACCACAACCAGTATTAGACAGAAAAGTGTTTAAACCAGGTTTTTAAAGCGTTCATTAACTGACTTAAGTACTTACATAAGTACTAAATAATAATAATAATGTCGTATAATTTGAGCCTAAATCACGTGTTTGGGTCCTCTGTCTCCGGGTCCTCTGTCTCCGGGTCCTCTGTCTCCGGGTCCTCTGTCTCCGGGTCCTCTGTCTCCGGGTCCTCTGTCTCCGGGTCCTCTGTCTCCGGGTCCTCTGTCTCCGGGTCCTCTGTCTCTGGATCCTCTGTCTCTGGGTCCTCTGTCTCTGTGTCCTCTGTCCCTGGGTCCTCTGTCTCTGGGTCCTCTGTCTCTGTGTCCTCTGTCCCTGGGTCCTCTGTCTCTGGGTCCTCAGTCTCTGGGTCCTCGGTCTCTGGGTCCTCTGTCTCGGGGTCCTCTGTCTCTGGGTCCTCTGT